CTGGCCCCGCTCCAACAGCTCCATGTCCTCCTTGTGCTGAGGGCTCCCGAGCTGGACGCAAAATACCAAGGGTTGACTTCTGCTGTCAGCTCCTAGGTATGTCCAACCCCCTTGCCCTCTTAGCAATATTAAATGAGGGTTTTTTTTCACTCTGATTTACTAAGCCATCTTCATTTCTGCTACTGCTTTTGTTGACAAAAACATGTGATTTTATATTTGGAAGGTGTTTTTTTTTTCCATTTGGTTCCTTCCATTGCTTCAGCTCCAGAGGACATTTAAAAAAAAAAAATCAGCTGAGTGTCTGAAATCCCAGAATATTACTGGTAACTCTATAGGCTCCCACAACCCCTTCTCACATTCCTTGTGTTCTGCTATGGAAGACAGCTACTATACTCAGAAGTTCTTTCTCAAAAAGAGAATAAAATGCGCCATAAAAACCCCACGACATTTCTCCACATCACATATCCTAAGCAGCAACAGGGACCACGGGAGGTCCCTGAAACGGAAGCCCAAGGACCTTAGATTACCTAGGTGAGTATTTTATAAATGTTTAGAGATGGAGACTGTTTGCGTTATACGAGGTGACAAATATACTAGTTTACAAACAGAATCTGTTAGATGTGCTTTTGACAGCCGTGAAATAGCAGAGTACCCATCTTGAAGAATATTCTACGGAAGCGTTCATGGCAAAGGCAGCACGGGACACGTGTTGGGAGAGCGAACGGTAGCAAGATGCTTATTTTGTAGGAAGAAACGCAGAGGGCAGACATGACGACACTTTGCGAGTACGCTCCAGCGGGAAGAAAACTTTGTAAGCCGCTATGATGTTTCTTCTGAATATCTTAACCTTACTCCTGGTACTGTACCTTAACCGGCAAGTTTAGAAACACGAGATTGAACTTGGACGTGCTTGATGACTTTGTTGTTTCACTGTTCATATTCAAATTAATGGGAAATTGCTAAACCCTGAATAACCGAACACGCATTTGATCAGACCAAAGGTTCATTCAGCTTTATGCTGTTAGTCCCAACATTAGCCAGTACTGATTGCCTCAGGAAAAGTATAAAACCCCCCAACGTATGCTGTTGTAATTCCACTAAAATACCCTCCCAGCCTCTAAGCTTGTGATCCAGGAACTTGCCGAGAGGTACGTCTCTATGTCTAATGCCTTCCAATTGAGTTTTCTGAACAAAACCCTCTTGTTATTTATACCCATCTAGTAAAAGATAATGTAAGGGGCATAGTAAACCAGTATCTCACCTTTAAATCCTGACATAATATACAGCCAACGCCTTCGGTTACGCCAAAAATACCCCAGCGCTGGGATGGCCACACAGCCCACCTGAGCCACGCCGCACAACAGGTAATGCCGCGATACCCAAGATTTGGAACGCATACCGATTTTGCTTTCACAGCATAATCTCATTAGATTTGCATATCAGATTTTTATTTTTTTTATTATTTTCTTTTTGAAAGCTGTGAGATGAAACACATGACCTCACTGGAGTGGAAGAAATGCATCCACAATGGCAAAAGTCAACCTCTTGCCAATGGCAGCACTAATTAAATTATTTTTGTTTTTTTTTTAGAAAGTCAACAATCCATTTGACAACACCACCTATTTAAAAAGAACTGCGATTCAGTAACGGCAGGTGCTATTTCCATTTTTCTCTCGTGACAACAGCATTATAATTTATATCAATAACCCCGTCTCTCGCACCAAGCGTTTCAACTGTTTTTCGGATCCTCAAGGACAGTTTAAACTTCTGAAAACAACTGAAAACAAGCTGCTGCTTTTTGTAAATTATGACTCAAATTATTTTACTGTTCACTATCACTCAAACAGCAAGTGCTTTTTAGATGGCTGTTGACTGCTTGTAGCAATCAAATGTAACTCAAGTCCAGAAGAAGTTGCAGTAATTTTGTCTTTAAAACCAAGACGTACTTAGACCCCCTCAAAATAAAATAAAAAGCTGTCTTATACAGTTTAGAAAAGCTACTGAAGCTTTCATTTTCGAGTAAGAATGCTTCTTAAGAACTCAAGTAGGCAGACAGATGATGATTTTAGAGCCCATCTCTACCCATATGTTCAACCAGCTGCTAGAACTTCCCATTCACGCAGAGGCAAAGGAACCGGGGATGGTCTCCAGGTCCTCAAGGATGACCATGTGAAACACGGGTCTTTCAGGATTCACCCAAAAAACCCCTACAAACTCCCACGTTCTTGGAAATCGTTGCCTTTGCAGGTGCAATCTACACTAGTGCAAGGAAGATGATCAAAATAAACAACAAAATATGCCAAAAGGGTACTCTGCTCTTGCAAATGAGAACTATATATATTTAAATGTAGGAACGTAAAGCCACGGATTTTTATCACGCATCCATCCCACCACCCCCGCTCCCCAAAACTCTCCCAACAAGACGGTAAAGCCAGTGTAAGAACCCGTTATCTCAAGTTTTCCATCCTGGCTCCTGACAACACACAACTACCAGGAGAGTGAATGCATGTCCTGAGGCCATCTGATGGAAACCCACACTCCAAGGAGTTTCTAGTTCTCTGCTGGGTAATTAACGGGGTGAAGGAACCACAAACCAAGGGTGAAGACAGAAATTAGAAAGTCAGGGGACTATCTAACAGGCAGAAAAGGACAGCAACACATTTTGGCTCCTGATCTGAGGGATGGGTAAGGCTACGATACTTCAGGCTCAACCATCAAATCCCAAATTACCCATCGTAAAACTAAAATCGGACTAAAAAGCCAATAAAAGTTAAAATTTCAGAAGCGTCACTTTGAGGACAAGGATCTGAGGGATGGGTAAGGCTACGATACTTCAGGCTCAACCATCAAATCCCAAATTACCCATCGTAAAACTAAAATCGGACTAAAAAGCCAATAAAAGTTAAAATTTCAGAAGCGTCACTTTGAGGACAAGTCTACAAGCCCTCTCCCCACCGCCTCTGCCCCGCACAAAAATTAAAGTTTCGGGGCTGCGGAGACTCGCGCGCAGCCCTGGTCCCCAGGAAACTTCCTGAAGGCGCCGCGGGGGGCTGGC